ATTTTTTTCCCTAGCCGCTACTGCATCTGTATATATATATTGATCCTATCTGTAGCTATTGCTATAGCTAAGCTAAGCTAAGCTAAGCTAAGCTTCATCTATAGCTAGCAGCGTGACGGAATTATGACCCCTCTTGGGCCGCCATTGAGCTTCGCTCGCTTCGCGAGCTCAGCAACAAAGCTAAGTATTTCGAGTGTACTCCTACTTGCCACATTGGCTGAAAATCTTGGGGATAAGACAAGAGTTTATCTGCGAACAGGTTTCTAAGAGCAGATGAATGAATGAATGAATCAAGTCCCCAAAGCTCCATTGCACTTGAACTTTTCTCCACATATAGGGTTTTGTCATGAATAAATTAAGTACATTCTTAACAGGGTACCTTATTCAAATCAAAAACAGAGTATTGAACACCTCTTCCCAACATAACTTGTTTTCTTACAAGATTAATAGCTCGATAGAAAGACTACAAATGTACACTGAAGCATAGTTAACAGGCTATGTCATACAGTAGAAGCCCCTTGAGTTAATAATTTAATTCGAATAGTAATCCAGGTGGAGAGCAAGTTGAATATTGGTAAGGAAAGGATAAGTAGAAACCTCGGTAGGAACCCAATATGCAATGGAACGATTAAAACGGTCTTTGTAAAAGATGGCCTTACCTCAGAGACAGCAGCAGTACATGCTGCAATTATTTTGTCATTGGTTCTAGCACTTATTTCATTCACTTCAAGCTGTAAACTGAAAGATAGAAACAAAAATTAGTATAAGGTGTTTGATATTCTTTTTACAGAACATTTTAATTTGAAAACACATTACAGAAACCGTACCTTTTCCATGGAGGCCAAAATATCACGGTTAGCCTCACTGATTGCTGCAGTGCATGCTGCCTTCAACTGGTCTTCTGACATTGGCGTTTTGTTTGCAGGAGCTTGCCTTACCTCTTCCAAGGCTTTGTCAAACTTCGGTTGGAGCTATGAAAGAGATTATAAAGTATGTTGTATGGTTGTTTTGATACTGTCAATAGAAAAATAAGGTCAAGTTCATAACAAACAAAAGTATTCAAATTTTTAGGAGATGATTTTCGTAAGACATGTGAACGCAAGAGAGTCCTACCTCAGTGAAAGCTTCAGTACAAGCTGCAATCATAACTTTCTTAGAGCCATTTTCACCCAAACTTTTTACTTCACGCTTTAACTGAAAAAGAGGAACAAGTATTAGTTTTCTACATTGCCAATTATTTTTACAGAAAACTTGAAAACACATTACAGCTACCGTACCTTCTTTATGGAGGACACAATATCATGGTTACCCTAAAAGATACAAAAGCAAAGGATATTAGTTGGAAATTCGCAGACGATATTTAGACTCGCAGCTCGCTTCGCTCGCTGCTCGTGGGCGATCGCTGTCGCGAGGGGGCACTCGGGCGCTCCGCGCGCCAGTCCCGGGACTGGGGCACAGTTTCCAGGGGTAGGCGTCGCTGTGCACTTCCCCTTATGCGTCGCAGTCCGCAGTTTCGCGGGGCGCGCGGCACCACGCTTCGCTAGTTATGGGACGCTATGCGCATACGTTGCCCCTCGTAGTCTGTCTTCCAAAACTTCAGAAAGCAAGGAATTTAGTGTGGCCGGGAGGAGCGTTGGGCGCTGGCTGCCCTCGGCGCGGAGGGCCCTGGCTGAGCGTTAGGCCCGGGAAGCCTCGGGTGCAGGGGCCCCTTGGGCGCAGCGCCGGGAGTGGAGCGGGGGGCGCGGGGCCCCCAGAAAGTAAGATTTCAGGTCCCCAGAACCAATGGCGGGCGCGGGTACCCTTCAACGCGGGGGCCTTAGGGACTGGGACCCGTGGATATAGGGCGTTGGGCGTGGGAAGATTTGGGCACACGAAGCCCTAGGCGCAGCTGGCCCTTACTGGGCGCGGGGCCCCTCGGCGTGGTAAGGCTCTAGCGCGAGGCGTCTAGTTGAGATACTTACTTCTGAGAACCATCAGTAAGAAACAAGTGGCTATGGCCCCTTTTTAGCCCGCCCTTCTGCTTTGGAAAAGCTATCCAGCGGGCTTATGGAAACGACCTCGTGTCTGTGTGTGTCTGTCTACGTGTCTGTTCCGCTAGAAGGAGATGTGCTAGAGACTTCAATTTTTCAGGCTATCTTAAGGTTCACTCCTGAAAAACGAAACGCCTAGGGCAAATCCTGGCAACCACCCCTAAGGGGCTGAAAAGGGGTATGAAAGAAAAAGGGGGAGGCCAAAAAAGTTAAAAGATATTTCTCTTATGATCTCCTAAGGGGTAATTCCTGAAAGTAGAACCTTTTGACCTTAAATTTTGTCCGTTTGGCTTTATCTCTCACCGTTTGGGCGCTGGAGATGCTTTTTCGACAAAAATAGGCCAAAAATGACCACGCTAAACATAAAGATGTACAAGAAGGCCTTAAATCGAAAACATGACAGAGGAAGTAATATCCGAAAAAGCACATTCTGAATCAGAATCAATTCGTGGAATTGCCGTATCTTTAATCGTTTTAGAGCTAGAGGTTGTTATACTCAAAACAATGGCAAAAAGTCTTGTCTTAAGACTGTCTGAGAAACAATACAAGCTGAAGACTGAAACAATGAACAAAGATCCGCGTTAAGCATGATAAAACACTGAAGTCTGCCGGTGCTCTATTGCAAAGTCAACACCGACTTAAGTTTTCATCATCAGCAAACATGCACTTTTTATTGCAATGCTCTATATAGCCGTAAGTACGTCAAACATAACACACATGCTAAAACCACGAACCACGTGAAAAAAAAGGGGGGGGGGGTCGTGGAAACACCACGGAGCACAGGGAAGGGGGGGGGGGGCTCCAAAACCAGCCGAAATGCGTCACGTCGTTTGGGTACGGACCCTTACCGCTGTGGGTTTTTTAAGTTCCCCCTGACAAGCGTGGTGATAAAAAATTGGCAGAGACTAAACTAAGTATAGGTTGACAATTCTGTTATACATTGATATTAAATTAAGTGAAATAATCGGTGAACGATCAAAAATTACATTCAATAGGGAATTCCAAAGGAGCGCGGAGCGGAAGTAAAAAGAACAAAAACGGAAGGTGGAAAAGCGCCCGCACTCCTCCCTGCCTGCGCCCCCCTCCTACCCGGGCGAACCCTCACTTCGCGCAGCAAAGGAGAGGAAGAGGGCGCCTTTTATTCTTCCATTTATGTTCTTCTTACTACCGCTTCATTTCTCAATGCCAATTCAAAATTGATGCCCTCATGACAGTACACGGGCCGTCCTCGGAAAACAGGCAAAATAAACACTCCAGAACCGCCGCAAACCTTTGGCAAAACAAAACACGATTAACATCAGAAATACCGTATAGAAAACGAAACCGAGCCGGTTTCATGTGGTACACACCACAACACAGCTGGTAAACCGAGGAGGTACACAAATTCTCCAAAACGGAGGTATAACGAGTTAACATCCGACCACTGTATAGATCACACACCCACACACCGGCACGCTATTTGCAGAAAGCCCAGATTTACACTTGACTCACTCCTGCGGAGAAGAAGTGGATAAGATGACGGCAATGACGGGCCGGTGAGTGCGGGGCCGCGGGGGGCGGCGCCGCGCTGGAGAGGGGCGAGGCGGCGGCGAGGCGGGGCGGGGCAGGCACCAGCGACATGGGCAAGGCATGCATGACAGCAGAAGGGCGGCGACGTTGGCTCTACTCAGCCATCATATCGGCACTTAGGCCCCCGAACAGGTCGCCCTGAGATAGGGTATTTCAATTGAGCGCTGCCCGGAACTAAGAAGAACAAATACGGATACAGAGAGCAGTGGTGGGGGCGGGCGAGCGGAGGAGCGGAGGAAGGGCGGGAGGCGGGATGTTCCCCTTCCACCCGCCGCTACGCCTCTCGCCTGCCCCCACCACCACTCTTCGTATCCGTTTCTGTTCTTCTTAGTTAATGAGGAACGAGAAAACGGAAGTCACAAGGTTAAAGCAAAGCAATTTCCGTTCTCTTCTTCCCCTTCTTTTTTGGCCCCCCCAAGGGGGGCCTTCCTGCTCGCCGGGGCCGATTAACGCGTCAGCGTTAAATTTTTTCTGCATTTCAGCTTTACCGGAATGCTTTATAGAGGAGAGGGGGACGGCGATCTCAATCACACGCGTACGACGGACGAGCTTGTCGCTGACAGTCCTGCCTACGCAACGTCCTGCGATCCTGGCGGAGAAGTAGCAGTGCTTGCAGCTGGCGCCCGCATTGCGCGTGTCGCGCCGGTGTCCTCCATGACGGCGAATAAGAAGAAGTTCCCCGTTTAAAAATGAGAAGTACCGAAAAACATCCTTCGTCGGACTGGTCCGAAATGAGGCTTTCGGGCCAGTCCGAAAAGACGTAAAATAAGCCACTTTTCGGAACAAGTCCGATGCTCCGCGTCCCCGCGCTTTCGGGCTTTGTTCGGACGAGGACCGATTCGGGTTGTCCGTAAAAAGTCCGTATCGACGCTCTGCTCTGTCGCGCTCGGGCTTGGGTTCGGACTAGGACCGTTTCGGATTCGTCCGAAAGTAGTCCGAATGATGGGTAGGGATTGGACCCCCCCCCCCCCCTCCCAAACGGTACCTGGGCTGGGCGGCCTGGGCCCCCGCTGCCCCTCGCGCTGCCCCCAGCATCCATCCAGGCGACGTGCGCCCCCGCAGTGGTCAGGACCCTCCCCGGCAACCTGCGCAGCTGCAGCCCCAGCGCCCCTGCCACGCAGAGTCGGGGCCTCTTCAACCTGCGGACCCGCGGCCGTCGAGATACCCTCAAGCCCCACTGCCTCCAGAACGGCCGAGACTTTAACAGTGAGTGTAGGGCAAAATGCAGCATTTAAAGTACAGAAAATTGATGATATCCGGTTTAATTAACCTTTGAAAATGCAAAATAAAAGATTACAGAAAAAGATTTCTTGAAGATTTCTCAAAACCTAAAAATTAAAATTCA